GCTCTTTGCAAAACAGAACCTCCAGGCTGAGGAGGCAAAACCAAGCCTCCCACTAGCCTTGAAAACTGAGGTTCTTAAAAGGCCTTTATTGTAGCCAAAGGCATGCATGGGTCACTGGTAGTGGGAGGATCCTGTCCCAGCCTCACCTTGTCCTGAGATTTATCCACATACAGTAACCAGGCCTGATATGGTGGCTCGTGCCTGTAATCCCAACACTTTGGGAGGCTGAGGCAGGTGGATCACCTGAGGTTAGGAATTCAAGATCAGCCTGCCAAACATGGTGAAACCCCATCTCGGCTAAAAATAAAAATATTAGCTGGGCATGGTAGTGGGCACCTGTAATCCCAGTACTAGTGAGGCTGAGACAAGAACCGCTTGAACCCACCAAACAGAGGTTGCAGTGAGCCAAGATTGCACCACTATACTCCAGCCTGGACGACAAAGCAAGACTCCGTCTCAAACAAAAAAGCACAAATACAGTAACCAAACATTGTAGGTTAACTCACCTGCAGTTGGGAGCCAGCTACAACCCCAATCATTTTAAAATTTTCAATTCTTGGCCGGGCGTGGTGGCTCATGCCTGTAATCCCAGCACTTTGGGAGGCCGAGGCGGGTAGATCACGAGGTCAAGAGATCGAGACCATCCTGGTCAACATGGTGAAACCCCATCTCTACTAAAAATACAAAAAATTAGCTGGGCATGGTGGTGCGTGCCTGTAATCCCAGCTACTCAGGAGGCTGAGGCAGGAGAATTGCCTGATCCCAGGAGGCGGATGTTACAGTGAGCCGAGATTGCGCCATTGCACTCCAGCCTGGGTAACAAGAGCTAAACTCCGTCTCAAAAAATATAAATAAATAAATAATAAAATGATTTTCAATTCTTTGATCTCATACAATGCACACTTTCTTCTGAATTAGCGAACCGAATAAACTATGAAAATTTCTTAGAATCAGGAAGTCTTGCTTACAATTAAAGGGCAAATTCCTGTGACTTGAACATTTTTTCTTTCTCACAGTACCATTCTGAAATCTGCATAGTTGCTTCTGAATTTTGAAGGCTTGTTTTCCAAATATTTGTGGGCAGTTCCTAAAAGACTTTGCCAGTTAAGTATGGGCAGCTGCTTTCAGGATGAAACCATGCGACTTAAGACTGGCAGATCCTGGGAGCTTGCACCTGATTCAGCCCCACAGACAGATTCATTTCTTCTCTGCCTCAGCTCCCCAGGCTCTAAAATGGCATCGTTTCTCCCCTACTCCTTAGCTCTTCTAACTACATACGATCCCCGAATTCCCACTGCCATTATTATTATTTTAGCATTATGAAAACAAACTAGCCAGGCATGGTGACTCACGCCTGTAATCCCAGCATTCTGGGAGGCCAAAGTAGGTGGCTCACCTGAGGACAGGATTTCAAGACTAGACTGACCAATATGGTGAATCCCCATCTCTACTAAAAATACAAAATTAGCCAGGTGTGGTGGCACGTGCCTGTAATCCCAGATACTGCTGAGGCTGAAGCCAGAGAATTGCTTGAACCTGGAAGGCAGAGATTACAGTGAGCTGAGATCACACCACTGCATTCCATCCTGGGCAACAAGAACAAAACTCCATCTCAAAAAAAGAAAAGAAACATCATTACAAACTTGCTAATCCCAGAAACAATGTGTTAAATGCTAAATTATTTCCCAGGTGACCAGTTATCTAGAAGTAAATTTAACTGAAAATCTTGGGCTCACCAGTGTTCAGAAACCACTGTGGCTGGGAGAAAACAAGACATAGGAACTTACAGAGGCAAAATTTCAAATCTGTAGCCCGAGTCCAGTAGTTCCTCAGATGTTGATAAAAAGGCTGGGAACAGTGGCTCATGCCTGTAATCCCAGCACTTTGGGAGGCCAAGACGGGCAGATCACCTGAGGTCCAGAGTTCATGACCAGCCTGACCAACATGGAGAAACCCCGTCTCTATTAAAACCCCATCCAGGCGTGGTGGTGCAGGCCTGTAATCCCAGCTACTCGGAAGGCTGAGTGAGGCAAGAGAATCACTTGACAGGAGGCAAAGGTTGTGAGCTGAGACTGTGCCATTGCACTCCAGCATGGGCAACAAAAGCAAAACTCCGTTTCAAAAAAAAAAAAAGAGAATAAGATGTTGATATACATTGCCTAGCATTTAGTAAGCACTTAATAATTTTTAAAAATTTAATGAATTACCAGAATGGCAATTCTATTCCTCTTCAGTACAGAAGAATCGCTGTATCTCAGTCCTTAAGTTTAAAGTCCAGAAAATTTGCCTGTTTGAAAATGTGATGGTTCAGCCTCTTTGCTTTATATAATTCTTACAATATACACTGTATAAAAGCAAACATAAACAAGGAAGACAGTTAACTAGCATTGGCTGGCTTATGCCCAATTTCACAAATGATTTTACAAAACATAGAGGACATTTGATGCAGCAGATAAAGGATTTGAGGGCCAGCGTTTGTCCTTAGTGGGAGAATTCAAAAGCTTGCACTGATCCAGAAGAAAGAAGTACAATGGCAAGCAGGAAGAAGGAGAAACCACAGGAAAACAGGACCAGTCCCGGTAGAAGTTCCAAACTTCTGAGGTATGTTCAGACAAAGCCTGTTATTAGACCAAAAATAATCTGCCCGTTAACAAGAGCTTCCCGTTCTTGTCAGGTTTTGAGGTAGCAGTCCCAGGGATTGGTGCTGACAAGCTGCTGCTCTACAGAACTAAGCTTTCCCTTAGAAGCTCTGAGTACCTCTGAACCTGTGAGGAAGGTCACAATCAGAGTTCTGTGCAGCCACCATCGGTAAAATCTTTGGAGAGGCAGATGTCAAGTATAAGCTCCCACCTCAGAGCAGGATGAACCTACCCAGACATTTCCCAGGCCAGGCCTTTAGGCCTCTGGAAAACAGCTGCTGCTGCAAACAACCACAGCCTGCAGTCGCCTCCTGCTAAACCCACCTCTAGCCACTAGGGAGCAGCCTGTCACTGTCCCAGAGGCCTGTGCTAGTTTCCAGGGAATTCTTGGAGTTGTACTAATATTACAGAAAAACTCATTAGTTTAGCCTTGGCTTTCAGAAGGTGCCAGTGACAATGGAGTACGTTGCCCTGGAGCAATATTTTCAAGACATGCACTGTGGAATTCATTTGGTCTAAGACCAAAATAAATATTTAATGAAGCAGAAAAAGTATATCACACAGATCATGGATAAACCAGATTTTGGTTTCTAATACCACTCCCATTAAAAGAAGCCAGGATTCCTTGATGAAATGGCCGATTCCAGGGCTAGAACAGGCTAAGCACAAGATAAGCCTGAAGCATCTTGCTAGGCTAGAAAAAAAAAAAGTGCTCAGAAAAAGAATAGTATGTCACCAGGATAGAGAAACCAGCTTGAAGGGTTTCTTGCCTGGCTAAAGACAATCTCTGCACCAAAATAATCAATTGGAACCACTGAAAAAGGCCAGGTTTGGTAGCTCATGCCGGTAATCCCAGCACTTTGGGAGGCCAAGGCAGAGTCTGACGCTAGAGTGAGCTCTGACTGTGCCACTGCACTCCAGCATGGGTGACAAGATACACTGTCTGAAAAAAAAAAATCCATGTGTGTATAATGAAAATTAAATGAATAAATATTGCTTATAGCCATTACTGGAAAAAAAATAAATGAATAAATAAATTGGGAAGAAGGAGGGGCTTTTGCTTATAGTAGGTTACCAAATGCAAACTGTAAAGCTGGAGAAAACACTAGAATTGCAAAATCATTTTGCAAACATCAGAGTTGAAGATCAGTGCGGGGACATTTTCATGGGCAAGATATTTGCACGGTCTGAAAGTGTACGTATACTGGTTATACGTTCCAGGTTGGGGGAAATACAGAGACACTGCACAATACCTTGATGAAGTGATCAAAATTTACCACTGTCAATGAGGGGGCAGATAGATATCAAGTCATTCTGGCAAAAATGCATATACTAATTCTAAATATGAGGAAACATCAAACTAAAAATGAGTTGTTTTCTGTTAAAAAACAGAGGAGGGCGGATCACTTGAGGTCAGGAGTTTGAAACCAGCCTGGCCAACATGATGAAATCCTGTCAAAATGCAAAATAATTATCTGGGGGTGGGGGTAGCGCCTGTAATCCCAGCTACTCAGGAGGCTGAGGGAGGAGAATCACTTGAACCTGGGAGCCAGAGGTTGCAATGAGCAGAGATCACACCACCACATTCCAGCCTGGGCGACAGAGCAAGACTCTACCTCAAAAAAAAAAAATTAATGGCATAAAAGATGAAAATGAGTCATGACAGCCATAGCCATGATTTACTGGAGGGAAAAAAATGCTACAAAGGACATCATTGGGCAGATACCAGGTTAAGGTATCAAATCAATGTTTTGACGAAGTAGAGAACCGTCCTGTAGTTATGTAAGAGAATGTCCTTATTTTTAGGAAATACGCATTAAAGTAGTTAGGAGTAAAGGCCTATGATATGTGCAATTTACTCTCAAATGCCTCAATTTTTTATGAAGAAAGAGAAAGGGAGAGAGAAACCCTGACAAATCAAACTGGGCAAAATGTTAATAAGTGAACAACGGGAATTTGGGTAAAGTGTGCACGGTTTTTTTGTACTTGCAACTTTCCTAGAAGTTTAAATTATTTCTCAATAAAATATATCTTTTAATTCCTCCCATATAACTAAAAATGTCCTGGGTGTATTCCGTCAGCATTCACAGAAATACCGTTGAATACCCGCCATCCACACGGGTAGATCTCCAGCAATCCTGAACTCAACTCTGCTCTCCAAATGACATTTACACTGAGTAGCCCTTCTGAAACTAGAAGAGTAGATTAAGTCCTTGAATCTTGAATTCACTTCAATGAATAATCTGGTAAAAACAAAAAAATCTAAGTGTGATTTCTACTTGACAGACAGCTGTGATGTAACTGGGACAAGATCAGTGTGGAATTCTTTTTATACCAATTCTGTACAAAGAGTGCAAGAACTGATGCTTCATATTTTATTTCCCCTCTGCCCTCCCATCCCACCCTTGGTGCTGGTTGTACCCATTTGAGCATTTCTGAGCACATGACCATAAGTAAATCTTGAGAGAGGAGCGGAATTCTTGTCTAAAGAGTAACAAGGGGATTAGCTGCAAGGATAGCTGTAACTGTTGTGCAGGAACAGAAGCTGCCCATGTCTTCTTGGTGGACAATCCATAGAAGACTTAGAATTATGGAACATCTGTCTCCCCAACCACCCTTTCCCACCCATCTCCCAAACCCTCACTCCCACCCTATACCCCACCCCATTAATAGTGTTAACAAAAGCTTAATCTTCCAGTTTTAAAGTGCAAATGATTTGGGTATGACTGCTGTTGCAACAGGTCTGAACAGAAAAAAATGAAGTCTTCTCTGTTTATGCGATGTTTTCCAGAATATAAAATATGAGTTCCATGACGACAGGGCCCTCACTGAGCTGGCAGGCCCCTCCATGGATCACCGGCACCAAGGCGCTGTCCAGATCATTCATATACTGCGAGGGAAGGGGCTGGCCATTGCTCCCTGCTTGATAGCCAACCTACACCGCAGAGAGAAAAGGAAGAGAGGTTACTCAACAGAGAAGGCTCTCCAGGGCTGAGGGCAAGGAGACTGGGCAGGAAAGGAGATATCCTTTTTGGCCTCAGGCTAGATACATGGTAGTGAACACAAACTTATCCTCTTTTCTGGATTGTCACTTACCCTGCTGTTTACTCTTCCTGACCACTTGACAGCCATGAGGCACTGGGTAAGCCGCGTAACCTGTTATGGTCTTAGTTTTCTGGGGAAGGGGAGTGGTGCATAAAAAGGTATGGAGTATCAGAAATAATACCTTAACCTCTGGTTGTGAAAATTAAAATGAGAAATATATAATGTACAATTCCCTAACATAGTAGGAACTGAATATTTGTTCGTACATCAGTCTTTTCATCCATGCACCATCTTCTGAGCACCTACAAACCCAGAGATCCAAAGATGAGTATAACAGGGCCCTATCCTCAAGAGGTTCACATATTTAGCAGAAAAATGCCTGTTCTTTGTTTTACATGAGGTAATTCTCTCTAGCTGGATTATCAGTGTCATTTGAGATAGGACCACACAAATACTTCATTAGTATAGCATTGGGCAAGCCATTAAATAGAAAATAAGTATTTGTTGATTGATGACTAGTCAGGAACTGGGGGCAGACACAGAATCTTTCATCATTCCCTGATGACGGAACAACACTGTGCTCAGGAACCAGTTTCTCCCCATAAGCACTCAGGCCGGGAGTGGCTTGCCGGGAAGAATTAACACTCAGTGGGGAAGGGTAATCAAGCTGAGCCTACACCCAAGTTCTAAGTGCCTTAAAGCTAAAGGGTTGAGGGAACAGAGAGGTCTGGCAATTTATAAGCAACAAGGCAGGACCTGGAAGGTCCTACCACATGCTCCCCTCTTTGCCCCACACTAAAAAGGAAACCAACTCCTTGGCATGCAGGTGAAGAAGCCACAGTTCAAATGGTTCTAACCAAAGCATCACATGTGGGTATCTGACCAAGCATCACACGTGAGATGATATCTGAACAAACATCACATGTGAGAATCTGACTAAGCATCACATGTGGGTATAGTACTATTAAAGGGAGGGTCAGAACACTATATCCAGTCAGGCCAGACGGTCTCTGGGTGGATGCAGGAAAATTCCCATGTCAAAAATACAGACATTGCCCAAGGCCAGCTTTAAAAGCTGCAGACGACACATCGTACCTGATCTGAGTCAAGTGTCACACGTAGTCCCAATTTGGTCATTCCATCTTCTTTCAGAAGCTTTAGGTGAGGACAGAGAGCAAGGCAAAAAGCCTTGGCAACATGCTCAGTCAATCTACTGTGATCTGCAGGATCACTGAGGCAATTGTGCTGGTCATCATTTTCTAGGAAAAATACCTGTTCCCCAAACAAAAGAGATTTTTAAATTTGTTCCTGGATTTTGGGAAAAATAAGTAGATTAGCTCACTGTATATGAGCACCTTGATTCTCCAAGATGTGCAAGAAGACCTGACAGGAACAGGACACCATAAGGTCCCTTGGTCAGGAAAAGTCGGGCATTGATGTCTTCCACCTAAAAAAAAAACCAGTCCCTACCAATGGAACAGAACAGAGGCATCGGAGGCAGCACAACATATCTACAACCATACAATCTTTGATAAACCTGACAAAAACAAGCAATGGGGAAAGGATTCCCTGTTTAATAAATGGTGTTGGGAAAACTGGCTAGCCATGTGCAGAAAGCAGAAACTGGACCCCTTCCTGACACCTTACACTAAAATTAACTCCAGATGGATTAAAGACTTAAACATGAGACCTGGCACCATAAAAACCCTAGAAGAAAATCTAGGCAAAACCATTCAGGACATAGGAGTAGAAAAGGACTTCATGACCAAAACACCAAAAGCATTGGCAGCAAAAGCCAAAATAGACAACTGGGACCTAATCAAACTCCACAGCTTCTGCACGGCAAAAGAAACAGTCACTAGAGTGAATCAGCAACCAATAGAATGGTAAAAAATTTTTGCAGTTTACTCAACTGACAAAGAGCTGATACCCAGAATTTACAAAGAACCCAAACAGATTTACAAGAAAAAAACAAACAAGCCTGTTCAAAAATGGGCAAAGGATATGAACAGACACTTTACAAAAGAAGACATATATGAGGCCAACAAACATGAAAAAATGCTCATCATCACTGGTCATCAGAGAGATGCAAATCAAAACTACATTGAGATACCATCTCACGCCAGTTAGAATGGCGATCATTAAAAAGTCTGGAGACAAGAGATGCTGGAGAGGATGTGGAGAAATAGGAACACTTCTACACTGCTGGTGGGAGTGTAAATTAGTCAACCATTGTGGAAGACAGTGTGGCGATTCCTCAAAGACCTAGAAATAGAAATTCCATTTGACCCAGCAATCCCATTACTGGGTATATATCCAAAGGACTATAAATCATTCTACTATAAGGACACATGCACACCAATGTTCATTGCAGCACTGTTTACAATAGCAAAGACCTGGAACCAACCCAAGTGCCCATCGATGATAGACTGGACTGGAAAAATGTGGCACATATACACCATGGAATATTATGCAGCCATCAAAAACGATGAGTTCGTGCCCTTTGTAGGGACATGGATGAATCTGGGGAACATCATTCTCAGCAAACTGACACAAGAACAGAAAATGAAATACCACATATTCTCACTCATAGGTGGGTGATGAGAACACATGAACACAGGGAGGGGAACACTACACACTGGGGTCTATTGGGGGGAATTGGGGAGGGACAGCATGGGGGGGAGCTGAAGAGGGATAGCATGGGGAGAAATGCCAGATGTGGGTGAAGGGGAGGAAGACAGCAAATCACACTGCGACGTGTGTACCTATACAACTATCTTGCATGTTCTGCACATGTACCCCAAAACCTAAAATGCAATTTAAGAACAAAAACAAAAACAAAACCAATCCCTGTCTCTCTGTCTCTGCATCCACAAAATGGCAGCAGTGGCCTGCCTAACTCCCTGCAAGCCTCCATGGTTGCAATGGCACATTCTTCTCAGAACTAGAAAAGGTCTCCATTTGGCATTGTGTGCCACTAAAAGGTAATCCCTATATGTGGACCATTTTCCTAGAAAATGATCTTAAATCTAAGACAATAACCCAGCAGCTTTATTTTACAATTACTCTTAGAAGGGAACTGACTGGCTCAACTGCACAGAAGAACTTAAGAGACAGACGAAGAGCCGAGCTGAGCCTAGCATCTGAGCCTTTTATTGCAGAGCTTTTTCCACCACACAGTCCTGCCACTGCAGAAGTGGGAGCTGTGTCAGCATGCCCACACAGAGCTATGCACTGCACTGTGCACAGGCAGAAGTGGAGCACACTTGGAACTGATGACCCAAGTACTAGTGGCATAGAGGAAGGGTCATGAGCAAGTCCCTTAGTCAAAGGACTAAAGAAAGACAAAGGACTTTATTTTTTATTTTTGAGACGAAGTCTCGCTCTGTCACCCAGGCTGGAGCGCAGTGGCGTGATCTCAGTTTCTCAGGCCAGGAGTGGCTTGCTGGGAAGCTCATTGCAACCTCCGCTTCTTGGGTTCAAGTGATTCTCCTGCTTCTGTCTCCCAGGTAGCTGGGATTACAGGTACATGCCACCATGCCTGGCTAATTTTTATATTTTTCATAGAGATGGGGTTTCACCATGTTACCCAAGCTGGCCTTAAACTCCTGTCCTCAGGTGATCTGTCCACCTCGGCCTCCCAAAGTGGGATTCCTCCCAAAATGCTGGGATTACAGGCATGAACTACCACACCTTGCCCAAAAGACTTATTTTATTTTTTGAGATGGAGTCTCACTCTGTTGCCTACCACCCAGGCTGGAGTGCAATTGCGCGACCTCAGCTCACTACAACCTCCCACCTCTTGGGTTCCAGCGATTCTCCTGCCTCAGCCTCCCCAGTAGCTGGGACTATAGGTGCACCCTACCACTGCCAGCTAATTTTTGTATTTTTAGTAGAGATGGGGTTTCACTATATCAGCCAGGTTGGTCTCAAACTTCTGACCTCAGGTGATCCACCCACCACAGCCTTCCAAAGTGCTGAGATTATAGGTGTGAGCTGCCATGCCTGGCCCAAAGGACTTTTTTTTTTTTTTTTTTTTTTTTGAGACAGTGTCTCATCCCGTTGCCCAGGTTGGAGTGCAACGGCACGATCTTGGCCCACTGCAACCTCTGCCTCCTGGGTTCAAGCGATTCTTCTGAGGCAGAATTCCTAAGTAGCTGGGATTACAGTCACCATGCCCGGCGAATTTTTGTATTTTTAGTAGAGATGGGGTTTCACCATGCTTGCCAGACTGAGGACTTCTTAATAATTAATTTGTCTCTATAAAGTGGAAAGCACCTGAACTTCTCTGGTTATTGTGAAGATAAAATGATATAAAGGCAAAATATAAGGCCGGGTGCATGGTTCATGCCTATAATTCCAGCACTTCAGGAGGCTGAGGTGGGTGGATCATGAGGTCAAGAGTTTGAGACTAGCCTGGCCAACATGCTGAAACCCTGTCTCTACTAAAAATACAAAAATTAGCCAGGCATGGTGGCTCATGCCTATAGTCCCAGCTACTCAGGAGGCTGAGGCAGGAGAATTGCCTAACTCTGGAGGCAGAGATTGCAGTGAGCTGAGATCATGCCACTACACTCCAGCCTGAATGACAAGAGCAAGACTCCATCTCAAAAAAAAGCAAGGCCGGGCACAGTGGCTCACGCCTGTAATCCCAGCACTTTGGGAGGCCGAGGCAGGTGGATCACGAGGTGAAGAGATTGAGACCATCCTGGTCAACATGGTGAAACCCCGTCTCTACTAAAAATACAAAAACTTAGCTGGGCATGGTGGCGTGTGCCTGTAATCCCAGCTACTTGGGAGGCTGAGGTTGCGGTGAGCCGAGATCGCGCCATTGCACTTCAGCCTGGGTAACAAGAGTGAAACTCTGTCTCAAAAAAAAAAAAAAGCAAAATGTAAAAGATATAAAAATGATGCAAATACATGGTATTTCTATATAGCAACCCCTAGCTTACTGCTCCATAAGGAGCTTACACTGAGGGGACTACCAAGGAGGCAGCTCTGAAGCTTCATGCCTGGATGCACTGGAGAGTGTCGGCATGAAGTGAGAGTGGGAGTCAGAAGATCTGAGCTCTGGCCCCTGCTCTGCCATTAATGAGCCAACATCAAAGTTAGTCACATAACCTCTCTGAGCCTGTTTTCTCATTTGCATCATAGGATTGACAACTCACCTACCTCACTGCTACTAGGGAGCAAAAAGGAGGGAACAGAGGACAAACTGCTTTATAAGCCATAAAGTGTTTTCACGTTCCAAACTGTGTATTGCTCAAAATGTGTAAAAGGGACGAATCATTACATAGCAAGTAACTAAAATCTTGTGGCTGCATATGAAAACATGGAGTCTGTTATGCAGGATGAATCCCTTAGGACAACTGCTCAGCACTGGAGAACCAGGTCAAATCTCTGCTATCAGGAACCAGCAATATGAACTTGAATAAGATATTTAACAACCCTGGGTCTGTTTCCTTTTGTGTAAAATGGAAAAGCTTAAAGTCACAGAATTTTTTTTTTAAATTAAGACTCTCAAACTGAAAAGAATCCTACAGATTTTATAATTTAAACTTTTATTTTACAAATAAGTATACATGAGGTTCAAAAGTAATTAAGGGATCTAAGATCTACTTGTTTACTCACTGAGAATAAACATTTAAATTTTTTTTGAAATTTTATTGTTCCTCCAACCTCTTGGGGATGAAGAGAATAAACTTTCTCATCTATATGATATGTATATATAAAAAGGGTCACTGAAAAAAAAAAAGGTTCACTGCCCTGCTCCTCTCATTCCCAGGTGAGGCTCTAATACAGCTTTCAAGTTAAGGAGCAAATTAATACAGCGGGAAAGAGCTTAGGAGCTGGCCAAATCTGGGTTTGAATCAGGATTTTGTCATTATTTATTTGCTTTGTAATCTTGAGCAAGTTAATGAGTCTCTGAGTTTTAGTTTTTTTTTTTTAATAGATGGAGCCTCGTTCTATTGCCCAGGCTGGAATGCAATGGCATGATCTCAGCTCACTGCAACCTCCACCTTCCAGGTTTTTTTTTTTTTTTGAGACAGAGTTTCGCTCTTGTTACCCAGACTGGAGTGCAATGACGCAATCTCGGCTCACCGCAACCTCCGCCTCCTGGGTTCAGGCAATTCTCCTGCCTCAGCCTCGAGTAGCTGGGATTACAGGCACGCACCACCATGCCCAGCTAATTTTTGTATTTTTAGTAGAGACAGGGTTTCACAATGTTGACCAGGATGGTCTCGATCTCTTGACCTCATGATCCACCTGCCTCAGCCTCCCAAAGTGCTGGGATTACAGGTGCATGCCACCATACCCAGCTTCCTTCCAGGTTTAAGTAATTCTCCGCCTCGGCCTCCCGAGTAGCTGGGATTACAGGCACGCACCACCATACCCAGCTAATTTTTTGTATTTTTAGTAGAGACAGGGTTTCATCATCTTGGCCAGGCTGGTCTTGAACTCCTGACCTTGTGATCCACCCACCTTAGACTCCCAAGATCTGGGATTACAGGCATGAGCCACAACACCCAGCTGTTTTTTTTTTTTGATATGGAGTCTTGCTCTGTCTCCCAGGCTGCATGGCGTACACTGGTGTGATCTTGACTCACTGTAACCTCTGTCTCCTGGGTTCTAGCAATTCTTCTGCTTCAGCCTCCCAAGTAGCTGGGGCTACAGGTGTGCACCACCATGCCTCAGCTAATTTTTGTATTTTTAGTAGAGACGGGGTTTTACTATGTTGCCCAGGCTGGTCCCGAATTCTTGACCTCAAGTGATCTCCCCACCTCAGCCTCCCAAAGTGCTGGGATTACAGGCATGAGCCACTGTGCCTGGCCTAGTTTTCTTACTAGTGAAATAAATCTATGTTTTAAAGACTGTGTTATCTAAGACAGTTTAAGTACAGAGTATCTGACCCAGCTTTCTGAAGAATACTGCAAAGATGGTATGTACCACTCAGAGATGTACTCTTCTTGAGTTCCAATGCAAATAAACTCTAAAAGCTAGTTCACAGGAAGGAGGATACATCAGATGGGCGCAGGCTGCAACTGGTGCCATTTCTTCCTGGTGATCTCAGATCGACCCGGGGAATTGGAGTACAAAAGGGAAACATTTTTCTCAAGACTTTTTGTTTTTCTTATCCTCCAGAGTCAAGCCAGAATGTGGCTCTTGGCCTAGCAAAAAGTTGTGCTCAAAATGGATCAAAGATGCCAAGTTTCATTACCTTACCTCTGTCCATCTGATGACTTTTCCATTTGCTTTATATTCTGATCCATGGAATATCTTCACATTTGTTATAGTCTCCATGGACTTCCCATCTATAGGACTTATGACACTAAAAGAGAGGCAAAGAAAAGATAGACGCAGCTCTTAAAGTAAGAAAAGCCATTTTTCCTATCACATTTTGCTGCAGAAGTGTTCCTACTAATTACACTGGGTACCTTGCTAAACACACCTTTGCAGTACATCATAGCAAGAAGAAGCCACTGTATAAAAATGTACATGAACTGAGCTCTTGGGAAAGGATCTGTGCACTGAAATAATTCAAAGAACACACATGTGAAAAAGGAATCATTTTTCCAGGAGCCAGTTCTCTTTAATGTTTTTGTTTGTTTGTTTTTTGTTTTAGGAGATGGAGTTTTGCTCTGTTGCCCAAGCTAAAGTGCAGTGGCATGATCTCGGCTCACTGCCACCTCTCCTTCCTGGGTTCTGGCAATTCTCCTCCCTCAGCCTCCTGAATAGTTGGGATTATAGGCACACGCTGCCATGCCCAGCTAATTTTTTGTATTTTTAGTAGAGACAGACAGGGTTTTACTGTGTTGCCCATGCTGGTCTCGAACTCCTGAGTCTAATCCACCCACTTCAGCCTCCCAAAGTGCTAGGATTACAGGTGTGAGCCACCGGGACTGACCTAGTTCTCTTTAATGTAAAAAAACTGATTAATTAAACTTGCTCTTCTTCCAGGATTCCTTTTAAGTGAATGCATGGTTACCTGCTCAATCTTGTTTTCACTCAGCTCCTGACTCTGTAATAATACTCGTCATGATATATTATTCATGTTTGCATACCTGACTTACAAATGAACTTTGGAAGGAGAGGGAATATATTTTCACCTCGATGTGCTTGCTATATTCCCATTACTGACCCACTGCTTGGAACTTAGGAGTCTAATAAATATTTATTAAGAATTATTTGCTGGGCCGGGCACGGTGGCTCAAGCCTGTAATCCCAGCACTTTGGGAGGCCGAGGCGGGTGGATCACGAGGTCAAGAGATCGAGACCATCCTGGTCAACATGGTGAAACCCCGTCTCAACTAAAAATACAAAAAATTAGCTGGGCATGGTGGCGCGTGCCTGTAATCCCAGCTTCTCAGGAGGCTGAGGCCGAAGAATTGCCTGAACCCAGGAGGCGGAGGTTGCGGTTCCGAGATCGTGCCATTGCACTCCAGCCTGGGTAACAAGAGCGAAACTCCGTGTCAAAAAAAAAGAATTATTTGCTGAACATAGCGGCTCATGCCTGTAATACCAGCACTTTGGGAGGCTGAGGTGGGCTGACTGAGCTCAGGAGTTCAAGACCAGCCTCAGCAACATGGCGAAACCCCACCTCTACTAAAAATTAAAAAAAAATTAGCTGGGCGTGGTGGCTCACACCTGTAATCCCAGCACTCTGGGAGGCTGAGGTGGGTGGATCACCTGAGGTCAGGAGTTTGAGACCACCCCTGACCAACATAGAAAAACCCCGTCTCTACTAAAAATACAAAAATCAACTGGCTGTGGTGGCACATGCCTGTAATCTCAGCTACTCAGGAGGCTGAGGCAGGAGATTCACTTGAACTTGGGAGGCAGAGGTTGCAGTGAGCTGAGATCACACCACTGCACTCCAGCTGTCTCCAAAATAAGAGGATTATTTGACCAAGTTGCTAATTATGACAGTGCCAGTGAAAACAACTATCTATGTTTCTGTCATAACACATTCCCCTTCGTGCTAAATTATCACTACTAGATTCCTGAATAGAAAGGCCACCTCTGATAGGCATTTCCTCCCTGAAATACAACAAGTGTAAATACATGGAAATACACATTCATTCTGATGAGAATTCAAAATGATTGGCACAAAGATTCTAAACTTTCCCTAAGAATTTTCAAGCCTGTTTGTGTTCGTGAATCTCTATGTATTAAAAGTCAAATCTTAAACTTCAGTATCAGGCATTCACTTCACTTACTCAAAATTAGTTGAATTTAAGTTTAATTTCCAACTCATGAAATAACAATGTTAAAAAAAAAAAAAAAAGAGCACCTTGGTTGTTTAAAATCCTTTGAGAAAGGATACAAAGTTCAGCTTGTAATGTATAAATGCAATGTTTTCCAGCTTGTCCCTGAATGTCTGAGTAAGAGAGAAAGAAAGGGATGTGGAGGAAAGAAAATTGTCAAAGATGTCTCCAAGGTTTTGGCTTGAACCAGTAGATCAAGTTGCCAAAACGTTGAGGAAGAATATAGGCTTTGAAACCCAAGAAGGTGGTTTTAAGAGCTAGTCTTAATCAATTCCTAGCTTTGTAGACCTGACAAGTTATTTAGCCTTTTGGTACTTGTTTACTCATTTAGAGAATGGAAATGTCAACACCTGTTATTATATCAAACAAAACAATGTTGGCAAAAAAGTATTGGTAAATCATAAAAGGCTCAGGTATTGTTATCTCAATTAACTATAGAGGGATTTTTTGTTTCATCAACACCGCTGCTCATACTCCTCTCAAAAATACATAAAGAAACTCCTTCAGAAACTAACTTACAAAACCATAAATTTAAAATTCCATGTTAAGCATTTAAAGCAGTCTTTTTCTTAGGCAGGGCTTTCAGTAAAACTATAAAACACTAGCGGAGATAGCAGACAAAACCCAGAGCTTAGCCTACAACTAAAAGCCACAACGGGGATGTGTGCTGCATTTACCCCTTGCTAACGTTCTTGTCATCATCCACCCACTGGATGTGGATGTGCTCCTGGGGATCCTCCGCATCCGCCTTCCCACAGGTGATGGTGAAGTCTTTCATCTCTCGCAGTGCCTGCCTCAAGGAATCCATGTTCTCTGCAGTGATCTGGACCATAACACCATCTAAGAATCAGTACAAAGTCAAAGGAGAGGCATATGAAACACAGCACCTGGCATCTAGCAAATCCCTCTGAGTTAAATGTAAACCTTTTCTCTGCTTTCCAAAACTGACACACAGGTTTTGCTTTTTGAGCTGAATCTCTTACTGAAAGTGTTGTGACAAGCGATGCCAAGATGGGTTCTGCTTAAAACACTTGTTGATTTAAATTCAGACACGATTAAGAATTTCTCCTGAGACTACTTAAGGGGAAAACTTAAACACAGTCAAATTCTTCTATTGGACACACCAAACATTGTGTTCCTATTTTTACTCCTGAATTTATCATCCTCTGATCATATTTATTTGTTTGCATCTCCATCTCTCTCGCCTCACTATGACTGCCTGGCATAGAGTGAACGCCCAGTAAATGTTTGCTAAATAAATCACTGAATAAATTATAGTAATGGGCTTGGAGATAAATCCATTTATTGACTAGCAGTAAGGCAAACCTACCACAGAGTTTCATATGGGCTACAATATAGCCAACAGATGGCAACTGTTTTTCAGCTGCTACCTGCCTGAGTTGAAGGCAAACACTCAAATTGACAGTAAAAGTTGTCACATGCTGAAAAATTACTCTGCTTCATTGATACACAATGAACTAATTTCTAAACAGTCTCAATAAAAATTTCATAAATAGGCAGCCAATTGCTGCACTGAAACACACAAGCGAAATGCAAGACCCAAGAAATTCCCAACCCAGACAATAAACACATAATTTTCAAACACACTGCTTTGAATTGGTAAGGATCTATGTCTATCTTATCTATCTCTCTATCTATCCATCCATCCATCCATCCATCCATCCATCCATCCATCCATCCATCCGACAGTTGCCCAGATTGGAACGCAGTACTATTCACAGGAATGATCATAGTACACTGTACCCTCCTGACCTCACAGGGTCCTCCCGCGTTAGCCTCTGAAGTAGCTGGTACTATAGGTGTATGCCACCATACCTGGCTCATTTTATCACTTTAACAGCATTTATAAGGGGTGTTTTAAAAATCACCTTGTGAAGTCACAATTTCAACTATAGTCAACACTTGATTATACAAGCTTTAATTAGTTGCTTTTGACCAAATGACAGTTTAACTCCTAGATTTTCTGGGTGTGGTGGTTTACACCTGAAATCCCAGCACTTTGGGAGGCTGAGGCTGGTGGAACATTTGAGGTCAGGCCTGAGCTCAAAACATTGAGACCAGCCTGACCAACATGGTAAACCCCATCTCTATTAAAAATTTTAAAAAAGGCCAGACGAGGTGGCTTGTCCTGTAATCTCAGCACTTTGGGAGACTGAGACGGGCAGATCAGAAGATCAGGAATTCAACACCAGCCCGGCCAATATGGAGAAACCCCATCTCTACTAAAAAAATACAAAAATTAGCCAGGCTTGGTAGCATGCACCTAGAATCCTAGCTATTCGGGAGGCTGAGGCAGAAGAATTGCTTGAACCTGAGGGGTGGAGGTTGCAGTGAGCTGAGATCGTGCCACTGCACTCCAGCCAGGGCGACAGAGCAAAAGACTCAGTGTCAAAAAAAAAAAAAATTAGCTGGATGTGTTGGTGCACAACTGTAATCTCAACTACATCTCAGCTACTCAGGAGGCTGAGGCAGGAGAATCACTTGAGGGAGATGGAGGTTGCAGTGAGCTAAGATAGTGTCACTGTACTCCAGCCTGGGCTACACAGTGAGACTCCATCTCAAAAACAAAAACAAAACCCTCTTAGATTCCCTAACAATTTCTAAATAGTATGTTTCTGTTATGTAATCAGAGTTGTAAATTTTAATTGTAAAATATTAGTGCACTCTACATTTCACTCACTGTTTTGTTACATTTACCAAAAGAAGACCAAAGCCAGTATCTATAAATATATGTACGATTATCTATGTATTCTTTCTTTCTTTGTTTTTTTTAGACAGAGTCTTGCTCTGTCACCCAGGCTGGAGTGGAATGGCACTATCTCAGCTCACTGCAACCTCCACCTCCCTGGTTTAAGCAACTCTACTGCCTCAGCCTCCTGAGTAGCTAGGATTACAGGCACGTTCCACCATGCCCAGCTAATTTTATGTATATTTAGTAGAGACAGGGTCTCACCATGTTGGTCAGGCTGGTCTTGAACTCCTGACCTCGTGATCTGCCCACCTCAGCCTCTCAAACTGCTGGGATTACAGGCATGAGCCACCATACCCAGTATTATCTATGTATTTCAATTAACACACTGGAATCCAGCCCTAAGAAAGGACTGTTTTTACACAGGGCTTCAGAGTGAGCTACTGTAAAAATGAAAACCTGTCGTTATGTGAGGTAGACTATATTTTCCATGGATGACCATATCTCCCATCTCATTTTTCTGCAATGCTGCCTTCCCATTTTCTCATGTAGAAGTGAAGTCTAATTTTCTCCCTTTTCTAATACCAAAGTATGGTAGAAATGACACAATATGACTTTTAAGAATGGGTCACAAAAGGCAATGCAGCTTCTACCTTGTTGCTGAACAGTCATGTTTGGAGTCTTGAACCACCATGTCAGAAGTCCAGCTATCCCAATGCTACCAAGCCGTGTTAAGGATTCCCCATGTAAGTACTCCAGTCACCACTCCTAGTCTTTAAATCATCCCAAGCCAGGCCTCAGTTGTGTGTGTGAACAAACCTTCATATAATTCTAGCTCCCAGTCATCAAATAACTTCAAGTCATCCCAACTAAGACTCCAAACATCATGAAACAGGGTTGCCCTATCAAGATTCCTGACCCAGAGGATTAGTAAGCATGATAAAATGGTTGTTTTAAGCCATCTGTTATGAAATAAGAGATCAAAACACAACGAATCGACAAAGAAACTGTGTGCCAATTAGCCTTTAGTTTAATTAACTTTTGTCAACATATTTATCATGTGTAATTATAGCAAATTAGCAGCAAGCACATCCCATTCTGTACCCTAAGTGATGACAACATTCTTGTGGACAGGAGAGACTGACTTTCAACACTTACATATTAATATTTGTACCCAATGATATATTTGAACTTAGTCTACATGCCCTCGGGTACCTTATCCCAGACCTCTGAAAGGCCATCTCCTAGTTTTAATGTCACTGTCAACATGGTATCCCTACCACTTACTCCTTTCTTTAGAGAACTGAGCACTCTCATGGTGGTTTTAATTTGCTGAAGAGATGCTACTGAATAAATAGTAGGAGTCAGACATCTACAGCAGAAATGTCAAGGATTCCCTTTATGTTCAATCGTTATTATGAGGACTGAATACTTCATTCTTTACCTTCCACAATACTGGACTTGGCAAGGTATCCAGAAGAGGATTTCAGAGCGCCGCTGAACACAAAGAAACTGGCACCAGTCACTAAAACAGCAATAGAAATAGTTTAGTGAAGACAGACCCTATGCTGGAGGGATTGAAAACAATAACAAAATATTCAGAAGTTGAGAATTCCAACCATCATCATACAGAAAATTTAAAAACTCAAATCTATATTCTACAATAAACATGTAGCCAAGAATTCTGATGCTTACAATAGCTTTGGGAATAAGGTTTTAAGATATGCTCTTCCATTGTGTTTTGTTCTTCCTCTAATTAAGAATCCAAGTGACCAGGCCCGATGGCTCACACCTGTAATACCAGCATTTTGGGAAGCCGAAGCAGGTGGATCACAAGGTCAGGAGTTTGAGACCAACATGGTGGAAAACCCATCTCCACTAAGAATACAAAAATTAGCTGAACATGGTGGCGCCTGCCTGTAATCCCAGCTACCTGGGAAGCTGAGGCAGGAGAATCACTTGAATCCAGGAGGCAGAGGTTGCCATGAGCTGAGATTGCGCCACTACATTCCAGCCTGGGCAATAGAGTGAGACTCTGTCTCAAAAAAAAAGAATCCAGGTATCTTACAAGAAAATGAATCTTAACGGTTGAGGGGCCAGGGGTTGGCAAGCTATAGCCTGCTTGGCCTCCAGCCTGTTTTTATAAATAAAATTTTATTGGAACATAGCCATGCCCATTTATTTACTTATTATCTATGGTAGTTTTTGCACTAAAATGCTAAAATTGAATAGTTGTTAACAAAAACCATAGGCTTGCAAAATCTAAAATATTTATCACCTGGCCCTTTGCAAAAAAAAGTTTGCCACCCACAATCTAATCCATTGATTTTCAGATTTTTTTTAAGATCAAATATATTCTGAAGATGGAAATATGGTTGCCAACTATTTTATCTGCCAAGTAGAGTTTTTTTTTAAAGCATCCATTTAAAAGACAAACTCTTATTACCACTATCTCTTCATTAAAAAAAAAAAAAAAAGGTTACATTTAGCTTTATAGAAACTTCACTGTACTACTGTCCTTATTTTTCCACATCTTACTTAAACTGAACTGGACACTAATCCAACTTCCTACCCACTGGCCCCGCAATACTTTTAAGATGTGGTCATCCAGGCTTTGTTAGACTCCTAGTGACAGGAGCCAACAATCACACAAGGCAACCCATACTACCTCTGAATAACTTCCAGGCTATACACTGTGCTCTCAAATTGAGCTCAAATCTGGCTCCCTGTAACTTTCACCCACTGGTGCTGGTTCTGGCCTTTTGAACCCAAAGAGAAAAAGTTCAGCCTTATTTCCACATAATCAAACACTGTAAGAATAGACATGGCAATTTTTCCATCCTCTTCTAATATCTACCTTTCCAGGTTAAACATTCTTACTTTATTCAAGAAGGCTTTCTTTGAACTAGGTTCTGGATTTCTCACAGATCATCCTCTGGAGACCCTCCAGTTTTATGACTATACTTAATGATATACAGAACTTATTTGAATATTCTAGATATAATATGACTAATAGGGAGCACTGTATCCTTAACACCTTATTTTGGATACTGCATTTGAACATACATTTGCTAAATACCTTTTATACCTTTACTAAACAAATGATTTTAAAAATACATTGGCCAGTCGCAGTGGCTCACATCTGTAATCCCAGCATTGAAGCCAAGGCAGACGGATTCACTTGAGACCAAGAGTTCAAGACCAGCCTGGCCAACATGGTAAAACCCTATCTCTACTAAAAATCTAAATATTAGCCAGGCGTGGTGGTGCACGCCTGTAATCCCAGCTAAGGCAGAAGAATTGCTTCAACCTAGGAGGCAGAGGTTGCAGTGAGCTGAGATCACACTACTGCACTGCAGCCTGGGTGACAGAGCAAGACTGTCTGAAAATATTCATCTATCTGCCTATCTTCCTGCCTGCCTACCTACCTACCTACCTATCTCTCATCTATCTATATGAGACTGTCTCAAAATATCTACCTATTTACCTACCTACCTACCTACATCTTGAAGAGTGACCTGTATGCCTACTAGACAAATGTTTCACAAAACATACAAAGGAATGCTAGTTTTGGAGAAACTCTGAGGGAAAAAAGTCTTGTGGTCAAATAAATTTGGGAATAGCTAGATGCTATCTTCCTTTTGAAAAATTAGATTACACATCACCTTGTTGGGTCTAAAAAGTCCCATAGTACAAGAACCTGTTTAAACCTGTTTAGCACACAGGGTTTGTTCTTTTTTTTTGAGATGGGGTTTTGCTCTTGTTGCCCAAGCTGAAGTGCCATGGTGCGAGCTTGGCTCACTGCAACCTCCACCTCCCAAGTTCAAGTGAGTCTCCTGCCTCAGCCTCCCGAGTAGCAGGGATTAGAGGCATGTGCCACCAAACCCAGTTAATTTTTTTTGTATTTTTGGTAGAGATGGGTTTTCACCACGTTGGTCAGGCTGGCCTCGAACTCCTGATCTCAGGTGATCCGCTTTGGCCTCCGAAAATGGTGAGATCACAGGTGTGAGTCACCCTGCCTGGCTCTTTTTTTTAAGAGACAGGATCTTGCTATGTTTCCCAGGCTTGTCTTGAACTCCTTAGCTCCAATGATGCTCTTGCCTCAGCCTCCCAAAGTTCTGGGATTACAGGCCTGAGCCATGGAGGCTGGCCAAACATAGGGTTTCTTTGATTAAATGTATTAAACAAGACTTATTTTTTTCATGTGAACAGTTTTTAACAGCATAAAGCCTGAGAAAACACTTTGGGTAATGCCCCTTAAGCAATGATTCTCAAAGTCGAATGTGCATTTGAATCACACAGACATCTTGTTAAAATGCAAATATTGATTAGCAAATCTGGGGTGTGGAAACCACATTCTGAATAGTACTGAACCTTCCTTCAGAATCCTATCAACATATTAATTAGCATTCTGTGGAAATACCATCCAACAAGCTTCAAATTTACCTAAACATCCTCCATTATGGGGCCTATTCTTACCTTCAAATGCCAGTGCTGGCCCTGTCAATATCCTAAGGGCATATTTTCGAAATATTTCCCTCAATAACAGATATCCCATTTGCAATTCTGAGTCTGGCCACTTGGGGAGTCAACATAATCCTGAAGAATATGGTTGGAAAGGTTAATTTGTTTGTGGTCACCTATCTAGAAAGTGAGTGTAACAGGACTGAAGTATCTAACTGTCCAAGGCCAGTATAATCTTCCATTATCCTCAAATGCTCACCTTTTCTGGGCTGATTGTGAATACTGATAGCCTGGGTCTGATAGTTTCCGTCATCATTCTGCACGCACACAAGATGAGAATCTGCCTTTTCATTGAAGCAGGCACCTCCTGCCAGGACATGCTCATTGGACTTGTTCATGGCTTTCATCATCTGCAATTGAAGAGAGACAACCTTATTCTGGCAAGAAGGAGCATTTTTCTGTCTGACATGGTGCAACTCCATCTTCTCAAAAACAAAACTAACAGAATAATATTACATATTAAAGTGACAAAGGGGCTACCAAATAATGAAAACAAAGTAAAAAATCAGTCACCATTAACAAATCAACGTATACAAAAATTCCCTGTGTATTTTATAACTGATCTGAACTATGACCTAATAAGCACATGACACATTTGGCATTCATTTTTTGTCCTTTCACTGCTGCACTGAACTCAAGTAACTAAAATTAGTTTAGCTAATTGTAGTTTCTCCTATTTACTGGATTCTCTGAGGATAATCTGAAATTCTAAGTTCAAAAGAATGTCCCATATTTAAGTGCATCTGCTATTTATCAACTTCCAAAGGAGTGAACCTTCCCTCTAAAAATATATGAAATTCACTGTTTCTTAATTTTAATACTTATGTTTGAGATCTTCAATGAAATTAGTTACTAATATTTTGATTGATTCTTCTCAAAAGATTTAACATAATAATTCTGACCTAATCAAAAAAAAATTCATAGGCCACTTCTTTGCATGTAATAAGAACTCACCTTGATGTTATAAACTCCAGCCCCTGGCTGAAACAGGCTAATGATAATTTTTTGCTGTTATTTTATTTCCATGAAAAGTTTGACATCATTTTTTTTTAAGAGATGGGAGTCTCACTATGTTGTCCAGGCTGGATTCAATCTCCTGGGCTCAGGTGATCCTCCCACCTCAGCCTCTTGAGTAGCTGGGATTATAAGCACGTGCCACCTAGCCCCACTCTGGGTTAATGATAATTTGTTTTTATTTCCCTTTTTTTCCTTCATGTCATCCCATTTGTCCAACTTTCTGATCTAATTCTTTAAATCGAGGCTTTAAAAATCTAATTGGAAACTTATTTTGTTTTACTCCCCTCTTCCTCCTATAAGTTGTAGTGCTGCAGTCCAGCCGTGGTAGCTCATATCTGTAATCCCAGCACTTTAGGAAGCCGAGGTAGGTGTATTACTTGAGGTCAGGACTTTAAGACCAGCCTGGCCAACATGGTGAAAATCCATTTCTCCTAAAAGTACAAAAGAATTACCAGGGCATGATGGCAGGTACCTGTAATTCCAGCTACTCGGGAGGCTGAGGCAGGAGAATTGCTTGAACCTAAGAGGTAGAGGTTGCAGTGAGCCAAGATTGAGCTTGTGCACTCTAGCCTGGGCAACACAGAGAGCCTCCATCTTAGAAAAAAAAAAAGTTGTAGTGCTGTCAGAGTTGTTCAACTCCATCTTGAACAGGGGTTGGGTAAAATGAGGCCGAGACCTGCTGAGCTACATCCTAGGAGGTTGGGCATTCTTAGTTGGGATGAGATAGGTCAGCACAAGATACAGGTCACAAAGACCCCACTGATAAAAACAGAGTGCCATAAAGAAGCTGGCCAAAACCAAGACGGTGATGAAAATGACCACCGGTGGTCCTCACTGCTCATTACCTGCTAATTATAATACATTAGCATGCTAAAAAACACTCCCACTCACACATGACAGTTTACAAATGCCATGGAAATGTCAGGAAGTTACCCTACATGGTCTAAAAGGGGGAGGAACCCTCAGTTCCAGGAATTCCCCATCCCCTTCCCAGAAAACCCTTTGTCCAGCATATAATCAAGAAATACCAGGCTGGGCACTGTAGCTTACACCTGTAATCCCAGCACTTTGGGAGGCCGAGGCAGGTAGATCACCTGAGGTCAGGAGTTTGAGACCAGCCTAACCAACATGGAGAAATCCTATCTCTACCAAAAATACAAAATTAGCTGGGTGTGGTGGCGTAATCCCAGCTACTCGGGAGGGTGAGGCAGGAGAATCAGTTGAACTCAGAAGGCGGAAGCTGCAGCAGAAGAATCGCTTGAACCTGGGAGGCAGACGTTGCAGTGAACCGAGATGGTGCCATTGCACTCCAGCCTGGGAAACGAGCGAAACTCCAACTCAAAAAAAAAAAGAAATACTGCAATACCTTAAGTATACTCAGTCAAGCAGCCCATGACACTGATTTGCCTACAGAGCAGTCATTCTTTCATTCCTTTACTTTTTTTTTTTTGAGGTGGAGTATCACTCTTGTCGCCCAGGCTGAAGTGCAATGGCGTGATCTCAGCTCACTACCTTTGCCTCCTAGATTCAACTGACTCTCCTGCCTCGGCCACCCAAGTAGCTGGAATTACAGGGAGCCACAACCACACCCAGTTAATTTTTTTTGTATTTTTAGTAGAGATGGGGTTTCATCATGTTGGCCGTGCTGGTTTCAAACTCCTGACCTCTGGTGATCTGCCCACCTCAGCCTCTCAAAGTACTAGGAGCCACTGTGCTCGGCCTATTCCTCTACTTTCTTAATAAACTTGCTTTCCCTTTATGGACTCAGCTGTGTGAGATCCAAGAATCTTCTCTTGGGGTCTAGACCTGAATACCTTTCCAGTAACAGTACCACAGTGCCCCATTTGCCCCCTACCACCATCTGCATTGTCTCTATATATTTATCTGTTCTGAATATTTCATATAAACGGAACTATATTACATGTGACAATTGTGTCTTTCACAATTGCTTCTTTCACTTGGCTTAAAGTTTTGAAAGCTCACCCACAATGTAGCACTTATTAATACTTCATTCTGTTTTATGGTGGAAAAATATTCCATTGTATGTATATACCTCAATTTGTTTATCCATTCATCTGCTGATAGACATTGGAGCTGTTTCTACCTTTCACCTATTTTTAATAGTGCTGCTATGAACATGTGTATACATGTACTTGTTGGAGTACCTTGTTTTCAATTCTTTTGGGCATATACTTCGGGGCAGAATTACAGGGTCATATGGTAATCTACGTTGAACTCTTTGAGAAACTGTCAAATTGGTTTCTTTTTTATAGTGGCTGAAACATTTTACATTTCTAACCAGCCATTTACAAGGGTTCCAATTTTTCTACATCCTTATCAACATTCTTTATTTTCCTTTTTTAAAAAAGAAAAAATTCTAGTTGGTGTAAAGTGGTATCTCATTGTGGTTTTGATTTGCATTCCCATAATGACTAATGATGTTGAGCATCTTTTCATGTGATTCTTTTGTGAAATGTCTATTCAAGTCCTTTACCCATTTTTTTAAACTGCACTGTCTTTTCTTGTTTTTAGAGACAGAGTTTTACTATGTTGCCCAGACTGGCCTTGATCCTCCCACCTTAACCTCCAGAGTAGCCGGAACTAAGGTACATACGCACTTTGCCTCACTGTCGTTGCTGTTGATATGTAAGAGCCCTTTATACATTCTGGATACTAAACCCTTATCAGAGATATGATCTGAAAATATTTTCTCCCATTTTGTAGGTTGTCTTTTCATTTTGATAATGTCCTTGGATGCACAAAAGTTGTTAATTTTTATTAAATCCAATTCATCTATTTTTTCATTTTGTTGCTTATGCTTTGGTGTCATATCTAAGAATCCAATACCAAATCCAACGTCATGAAGAATTACTCCTATGTTTTTGTTTAATAGTTTTATGGTTTTAGCTCTTATATTTAGCTAAATTTTGTTTGTTTGTTTGTTTTTTGATGGAGTTTTGCTGTTGTTACCCAGACTGGAGTGCAATGGCACGATCTCAGCTCACTGCAACCTCCGCCTCCTGGGTCCAGGCAATTCTCCTGCCTCAGCCTCCCGAGTAGCTGGGATTACAGGCACGCGCCACTGTGCCCAGCTAATTTTTTTGTATTTTTAGTAGAGACGGGGTTTCACCTTGTTGACCAGGATGGTCTCGATCTCTTGACCTTGTGATCCACCTGCCTCGGCCTCCCAAAGTGCTGGGATTACAGGCGTGAGCCACTGCACCCGGCCGTTGGTTGTTTTAAGTTCGTTTTCATATACAGTATGAGGTAAGGGTAAGTTTTAAAACTGAGCAGTATAAATCATCCAATTTTGTTCTTTTTCAAGAACATCCATAAAGAGCTATTCAGGGCCCCTTGCAATTCCAGATGAATTTGAATACTGACTTTTCCATTTCTGCAAAAAGGTCATTGAAATTTTTATAAGGCTTGCAATGAATCTGTAGATCACTTTTAGTATTGGCATCTTAACAATATTAAGTCTTCCAATCTGTGAAATGTCTTTCCATTTATATAGGTCTTTAATTACTTTCAGCAATGTTTGTAGATTTCAGGGTACAAGTCTTTTACTTCTTTGGTTAAATTTATTCCTAGGTATTGTATCAATACAATTCCAAGGCATCATCTCTTGGCTTTACTTTGTTAAAACTCTTGCAAAGCACCAGAGGTATCCAAACTATAATTGAATACTCCTCTTACACTGACATTTATCAATCTCACTAACCCAAACCACTTCTACCAGGGTTTTTCAAAGGTTACTTTGAAATAATTCTTCTGCAAATAGGATGAGTCAGCTAGAAGATTTCTGCTTAGCAAAACCAACTGACAGACACATTTAGGTTCTCATTTGCAATTTACATTTGTATCACATGAAAGAAACTGAGATAATCACAATTTTAAAGAAATCATTTCTTCCGGATCATTAGGCTAAAGTGGTTTCTAATTTTGTCTATACTAAGCAGACTAAGAAACGTTTTCAATCCAGACATTCTGAATAAATTAGCTGGCCTCAAAGGAAATAATCTCCTTGGATATAAATTACAAGTCCAATGAAAGAAATTTCTATTTCTTTAGAGATAAATGAATATATTTTATTTCTCCTAAAATAATGCTCAGTTACAACAAGAGCAGAGTTTCCTAGATAATCAAAGGACCTTACTGACCATAAAATAAATTTACACTTGTCATATAATGATATAAACACTTGTCTATCCATTTTGGTTGTGCTATTCCACTGTCAATTCAAATTCTCAAATGTTTCTTGTAACTATACCTATCTTCACCACAGTTCATGGCTTAATTGCCTCTTTTCTGGACATAATGATCTTATAACTGG